TTACGCGTTCAGAAAGTTTTAAAGAAGACAGGGCGCGACCGAATACTTTAAGTGAGGGTAAATTCAAGAGGGTTGGAAAATCCTGTAACTTTAAAGGAATGACTTTTATAGTTTCAGGGAAATTTGAGTAGATTGTAGAAAGTTGAGCCTAGAAAAAAAAGATGGGATTCAAGGCATGAACGCCTTTGTTCGTCATTACATGAGAGATAGTACATATAATTAGCATCACGGTTGACGGACATAAAGACAAGGAGCGTTCGTTGAGTTCCGGTGATTGTTCTTCTTGGGCTTTAAAAAGCGAAGACGGTGTCTATTAGCGCTATTTAGGTTCAATGTCAATGTTGGATTATAAGCAATCTTCAAGTACTGTTAAAATTTGTTTATAAGTTTATGAATATGAAGAAAGTTTTTAAATTGGGTTGAGACTTAAATTGAGATGAAGAAAGGAGAAGCAGGAAGTGTACGGAGCTCCCATTTCTGGAAAAACTTTAGGTGCGTTTTGTTTAATCTCCATATTAAGGATTGACCTCTAATTCAGGGTTGTCACACTTTTTCTCTTTTTACTATAAAAAGGAAGGAATTCCGATCCAAATTTCTTGACTTTTCGAGGCTTTTAAAATTCCCTGACATTTCCAGGTTTTCCAGGTTGCGTGGCAACCCTGCTAATGTAGTTGAAGCAAAAAATTTAAAGAAGAAGTAATAAAAGCACACATATCTTTAAAATTGTACAAAGCGAGTATAAAAATAAAGTATAAATAGTAGAGACGAGCATAAATGGCAAAGACACATTACCAAGAATACAAAGACAGTAAAAATAATGAATAAAAATAGCATAAAATATAAAGAAGAATATCTTATCATTCAAGATACAAGTTTCATTATACTTGAGAAAATATCCAAGGATGCTTTTACAATATTTATATTTATAAAGTAATACATACGTTATTTGGTGGTAAATTCGATAAAAAGTAATAGCTTATTGGCGCCTTTATTTTTCCGATATCTGGTTGTGATTGAACGGCAGGTCCATCTCGTGAATTTTGATAACCACACGGCAGAAAACGATTTTGCGTGAAACGTGGACAGAAACACTTGACATTATGGAGATTTCGGAGGAAATCGTCTGTTAAAGCCTTGGGCTTCGAATGGGTCGTTCGAGACAATCTTTTACTCGTGATAGAGGAATTCAAACGCAATATCAGGCTAATTTGCGTAATAAGAAGCAAGATGGAAGCATCTAACCACCCACAATATTGAACGTCAACGAAAATTGGTCTTCGCTCGCTCTCTCTCTCTCTCTCTCTCCTGGTATATATCAATAATTCGATTTACGGTAATATTCCTCCTCCTTCCTATAAGGGGAAAGAGATACGTGGCTATCTCGATTTAATCTAATCTCTTGAAAATTCATCCACAACTCAACCTTCTCTAAAAGCTTGAAAATTTAACCACTCAATTTTAACGCCCGTATACGCATCATGCTGGGGGAGATTCTGTGATTTTACTTATAAAATTAAAGCAACATTCGTTAAAATTTACACTAAATTATTCTACACGGAGAAAAATTTTCAGTTAAAATTACTATTAAAAATAGAAGCTGAAACTATTTCACATAGTATTTTCGTGACACATCGAGTTAATCGTAAAGTGTAATATTTTATTGAGTATTTTGTACTATGGTATCAAAGTATTTGATATTATTAATTATATTAGTTCCAACTATGTAAATATTTTTTGGAACTTGGTTAAATAGTAAAGGTAACTTTTCTGCCTAGAAAATATAACAATTCCAAATACTTGAACCTACTATGAGAGAAAGGCTAGCGCGCTATGCATCATGGTAAACTCCACTATGAGAGAAAGACTAGCGCGCTATGCCTCATGGTAATCTCCACTATTTTAAATGAATGACTGCTCGATGAACCACATGGTAAACTCCACTATTTTAATAGTGCACGACGCTAGTGCTAAATGACTTTGAACATAATGTAAAATTGTCTTCAGACAATTCAGTCGAATTTCACTGAAAATCCGTTAAAAATAACTGAAATTTCAGTCATTTTCTACTGATTCGACAATTAAAAAACTACTGAAAATTTATGTCACACATATTGAAAATTTCAGATATTTTTTAATTGGCCAATCAGTGAAAAATGACTGAAATTTCAATCATTTTTAACTGATCTTCAGTGAAATTTCACTGATTCAAATCGCGAGAATAGAGTCACTGATTCTCAGTCAAATTTCACTAATTCATGGAAATTTTAACTATTTTAAATAAGGATTGTAATTTTGTGGAATAACTGAAATTGCTAGAAACAAAAGTTTTAATAAATTAAAAGTAAAATTTTTAATTTAAATCATCAATAATAATTTTTATTAATCTAAAATAAATATATACACAGCAAAAGTTTAAAATAATGAATACACTTAATTATAATGGTTTCAATTTGTAGTCTTGCGCTTATAATTACACAATTTCAAATTGCTCATTTTTTTACGAAAAAACTGACGTCATCTTAAAAATTAAATTCACTTTTTAGCAATGTATTCAATGTTTTCAAATGACTAACTGTACCATTTATAAACTTTTTCCAAACTAAACTGCTGCACCTTGGTTAGTTTTTCGCTTTTCGTTTGTTGATCCGTACTTCATCTGTATTGGTGTGATCATGGTAGACAAAAGGTGTAAAAGCACTGCATCTTAAGCGTCTGTAAAATTAAATAAAGTCAGCATTTATTAAATAAAATATATATAGAATATTCAAATATCCTGTATACAGACATACTAATAGTTCCAAGTTACATGTTCAGAAAGCAGTGTTAATTTGTGTAACTTTAATTAATTAATTAAATATTAACTAATTTAATAGTAAAATAATTTTTAAATATTTACCTTAAATTCGATAGCGCCTTTAGTATTTCAGGACATTTTTGGCGTCATGACGCCAACATTCAACACTATACTATATATATGTTCATGTATAAATCAAAAAGTACTTAAAATAACGATTTTTTCGCGAAAAGTTTAATCACTCAAACAAACATTTATTTCACTTTTTAATTTTTTATGCATGTTTTATTAAATTTAAATAATAAAAATTTTAATTTAAAATAATTTTACGAATAACGTCTTTAAGTTTAGAGTTTTCAGAGACGACTGAATGTATACAGTACACGTTGGTATACAGAAAGTCTATTTTTAGAACTAAAAACGATGCTGATGGCCATTTCTATTACAAAAAAAATGTACTGTGTTGTGAACACATGTAATTTCACAGTGTAAAATGGTAATGTCCACCATGTAAAAAAAGAATTTCAGTTATTCATTAAATCAGTGCGTTAACTTGGTTTAGTAGGTCTTAGACCCATGCGCTATGAGTGGACCGTACTATTTCACATAGTAAAAGATCTTTTACTATGTGAAATAGTACGGTCCACTCATAGCGCAAGGGTCTTGCAGCTATTATATTCAGACGTTAAGAAGCAATTTTTCTCCTTGATTTCTTTACTATGTGAAATAGTATAAACTCCTACAACAAGTAGAACTTACTGCTATTATAAATACACATTTTTAGTTATTTCTAATGGCATAAAATAATATGCATTAATGTTATAAAACACTTTTTAATGGAGAGTTTTCGTTATGTAAGATACTATTTTGACTGACTAGCATCATAATTGCCGTATTGTAAATAATATTTTCTCCTTTTCTTAAATTGTATTTGATGTATTTAAAATAATATTCCATACTTTGTATACTTTAGTAAAAGATACTTTAAAGCATTAACTGAAATAACTACACACTTTGCAAAACATCTAACGCGTCATAGTTAAAAAAACTATGTAAAATAATTCAAGATACCATTTTTAAAAAATGGTAATTTCTACTATGTACAAATAGCACTATTAATCATGAAATAGTACTTAATATTAGAACTGGTAGTTTTTTTAATTATATCTCATAACGATTCGATATTTTACTATGTGAAATAGCGTTTTTAACTTGGTTTTCAAAAACCATTTCTCTGCGTGTACTTAGTTGAAACTTAGTTCTACTCGGAACTTTAGAAGCAGAAAGTTTTAGGTTATGTTTAATTTTTATACCGAAAATACAAAAAGAGAATCGACTGATTCTCTTTTTCGGTATAAAAATTGAACATAACTATTAATAAACCATTTAAATCTTATCGAAATATCCCAAAACCTGTTTTTGATTTTCCCTGACTCAAAGCAGCTTTTTAATGAAGAAAACATGAACCTAACCTACAACTCGTTTGCTTGTCTCTTTCTTCAGTATGCTGTTGCATTCTGAATTTATAGGATCTTCGATTTTCTATATATATATAAAGAGAGAGAAAAAAATCTTGTTACTTTTTTCGAAAAAAAACTTTCTCTTCATCTTCCTTTTGTTTTAAAAATAAATCAACACTTTTTCTTCAGTGTGTTACTTTATTTAGAAAGCAAACAATGTAAATAAAAAGTTTTTTTTTATTTGATTCGTGTCAAAATGGACGAATTCTTCCAAACAAATTTCTGAAAGGGGAAACTTTTAGTTTAGAGTGAATTTTCTCTCTGTTTTTTTTTTTATTTTTTTTTGGTGAAGAGAAAAAATAAGGTTCATATTGGTTTTTTTCTCAAACACATAGAGTCTGTTCATATGACAGAAGCGCAGTTCCTTGTGTAAAGTGGCGTGAAGGTTAAAGGTTCGTGCCATGAATTTTAGATGTTCATGTTCTTGGACCTCCATCGCCTCTCCTCTCTTTTACTTCCACTCTGGTGAAAAGTAAAGATAAGTCACTAAGTTCAATTTGTTTAATTTGAATAATGTAGTTTTTTCACGTTTTTTCCCTCATAATTTAGAAAAAAAATTTGTGTTAACTTAAAATTAAAAAAATGTATATTAAAAATTATATTAAGAAAAGTATCAAATCTTTCTACATTTATTATTGTCCTCTAAATTTGCCATTAGAAAAAAAAAATAAAACCATAACACTTACCAGTAGATGCTGCGTGGCGATCTAATTCCCATGTGTTTCTGAAAACAAAAAACAAGACAATTTGAATATGACAAAAAACTCGTTTCTCTGCATCAAAAAAGAAGAAAATTACTTGCAGGGAGTTTTTACCCCAAAATCAAGAATAAAGATTACACTTCTTTCGTGATTATATTTATTCAGCTAAATTCTGCTTTAGAACAATTTCCAGGATGCAAAGGAATAACAATCGATCTGTGCATTCGACAATAATTGTTTTCTCGAGTGGATGGGATTGGAATGTCAGAATTTAATTGAAATCTGCTTTCTCTAAGTATTGGTACAAGTGTTATTGTTAAATAAAATATTAATTAGAATTGATTATATTTATAATCTACGTTCATCATACAATATTAACATCTAATTATTTTGGTAAAAGTGCAAAGATTTGAATAATCTCTTTCCATTTTCCGTTAGAATTTAGATGATAGAATCTCGAGCATCCGTCTTCGGGAAATGAATCTCTGATTGTAGATCAAGTGTATTTTAGATTAAAAGTTTGCAAACTCGATGTTTGAGGTTCTAGTTGCATAGCTAAATTCATCTAAACGTGTTTAATCACACGAGTTCAAGTATTCAAATAACCAACATGATCCTAAAGGATTAAAAACATGTAATGTAACTTATTCTATTCAATGTAAATTTATCATGAATTAGATGTGGAGGATTTAACTCGAAACTTTCGTTCGGTATTTAATGCATAATTTCGTACCGAAGAATTATTATTAACAATATTTTTTTACTAATTTGATTTCGACGTTAATGAAATTTAATGAAATAAATCGTAAATATTTTGATAGATCACACATGTGTAAGAGTGATTTATCGTAACATGATACAGTCACAAATCCAAGATGTCAGAAATAAATATCTTTTAGGATCAAAAGGTTTAGCGACGACGTAAATATGGTGTCACTTCGTCATTATTATATTACAATGTGAAGAGTAAATTTCGTGAATCTGCGCGCAGACTTCGGAGGGGGTTTTCGAGAGCATAAATTTACCTTAATTCACGATTTAAACTTTACCCTTATATATAAACGCGAAACCATGCGAGAGAGAAAGAGAGAGATTCGTCAGTGCTTTACGCACCTCAGGCACTTTTCGCATGTTTCCTCGAGCCAAACGACATGCATAAAAGTACCATTACAAATGCTTTCACGTTCTTTTCGAAATATAGAGATCTTTAAAAGCATTCAACGATAAAATTATTTTTATTTTCAAAAAAAAAGTCCCCGCAAGTAAAATGCGTACTTTATTTGCAATAATTTTTCAAATGAAATTCTTTTTAATTTAGCTTCTGTTGTGAAAATTTTTATTAAGAATAATGTCTTTATAAAACATTTGAAAATTAACATTTTCAAATGTTTTATAAAGACATTAATTGTCGATAGTATTGTTGCAACAAAGTGAAATGAATGCTGCATTAATGTCTTTATAAAACATTTTCAAACATTATTATTGGCGATAGTTGGAATAATAGTGTTGTTAGTGGTCTTGTTGAAACAAAGTGAAATGAATGCTGCATCATTTTAGCTAGAGAAAAAAAAATAATGAAAGATGACACTAGACAGTTGTAGATGCGAGTGTAATATAAGAAGTGAGAATCATGCGTCATTCAGCCTAACAAGATGAGTATTATTTCGCAGGCATGAAATAATATCTTGGTGGATCGAGTTGCCGACGACGCTAATTGCATATTGTAAGTGCGTTTATAAAAAAGCAAGCGTAGGGGCCAATTATAACAGTGTTGAATTCTGCCTCTTCCTCTTGTTTCATTCTTTCGCGAGAATCGATAGGTTGGAAATCGATTTTATTCGCAAAATGCAACGGCCGGCGTATACCAGCCTGCTGAAAACAGTCCTGTTCCGATATATGTGCGAAAACTATGGTTGTAATTAGACTGATTTATTATTTTAATTGCCGACCTTAATTATCGCGTTAATTCATCGACACGGTCGCGCCTGTTTCTAATGGCTATTTAGAGTCCTTTTCGAGGATCGTATATTAGGACTGAAATATTCTAATGATTAAGAAGACAATAGAACTCTTCTTTTAAAAGACTTTCCTTTTGCGAAAAAGTTTAAATGATATTAAATGTTTCGCGTACGGTACGTTGGAAATTCGAACAAGCTCGAAAAACACAAGTATTTTCTCCGGCACAAGTGTTATAAATAAAAAGCAGGAACTTCTGTGGGAAAAAAGGAAGAAATAGAAAACGTTTCGGTAACACTATTAATAAAACGTTGGCCATGTTGGCGAATTTGAAAAACACGCAGTTGGTGTAACCTTCGACCATTGTAAAAAGATAAGTACGCCAGCGGACCATTATATGTTTCAAGAGGGTATTGCACCGGATGTCTCGGGCTCTTGAATGTCGCGAATATGTGCGCTGTATATAATGTGCGTGAATTACTTACACACGCACATCCGATCATTAGACTTTGGGGTTGGTGTACGTCACATGTGCGTGCAACATGTTCCCATGATGATGATGATGATGATACCACAATTTCCCTGACAATTCTGGATGAAAGCGATACGAGACGTAGTGCGCTTGTAATGTCAACGCTTCGTCATTGTCGCGAAGCGCACACATACAATTGATTGCGGGCAATTGTGTCCCAAACTTTAAGCAGGTGACAGTGTGAAATTATAACAACAATTCAGAATCATTTTATTTATCAAGAGCGCTGATTGGAAAACTGTCATCGATAATTTGAACATCGATTAATGACTACAAATAGTAAAATAGATCTTAGTCTTCTCAAAATTTGTGAATGGGTTATCTCATCTAAATTAGTTTTCTGGGTTATGAGAATTAGGAGTGCGAAAGTTTGTCACAATATTATTTTTCAACATAATTATGTTAATAGGCTCTTTATGCAGAAATACAATACTTGCACGCGATAATTAACTCTGTGTTGGATATACAACTGTCTACTGTTGCCTTTGTGAATCGCTATTGTTGAACACTAGCAATTAAAAGATGATCTTGCTGCAGTGCGTTATTTGAAAAGCAAAACGATTATGCTATTTTTAATTACAAATACATAATCTATTTTTGGAGCACCGGCTCTGAGGTTAGAGTTCATTTCTATTTTGCATATAAAAGAAGTTTAACAAACAAGGAACTTTTCATAATTATTAAATACACTTGATGAGTATATATGATAATTATTTAATTCAGTTCTATGGAATTTTAGCATCATTCCAGTATAATCCGTTAGGGAAACATTCTTTAGATTTTTCGACTTTGTTTACAATTTTGATACTTGTAATATTGTAAATAATCAGGGAATGGCTTGAAGTGCTCACGAATCGATCCAATGTTCCATTGCAGCGGAACTTTTATTGGGAAAATTATATATCCCGAGATTTAATCGAGTGTTCAAGGTTCGATTGTTTATTAATAAACATATAATGTATGGGAGAAGGCGGGCGCCACATCACATAGACAAGAGTGTTAAGGACAACGACATATCCTTATGACAGTAGTTGAGAATTTCTCAACATTAAACGTATATATAATTGTCTGTAATCGCAGTGGCAGACGGGAAATGAGGAAATCTTATTTAAAATAACGTTTTCAGGATTAACCTTGACGCCTCTCAAATAAAACATACGTCATTATCCACACGCGTAACGGGTACGAGCGTAGGTCTGCGAATTCCAAAAGTGCAATCTTTTATCACTTTTGCTGTGTATTTTATTCCGCCTATTTCACTTGCACCATATTTTATCGCGCCATAAAAAGAACAGAGTGTGAGGAAAATGATTTATATTAGAAGTAGTGCCCTTTGCGATACACTTCATTATATTATAAAATACAGCTTTTATTTTGAAAATTATTACTGTTTAATAATAATAAATAATAATAAAAATCTTTAGTTAATAAACATACCAACGTTTCACTAACATTTCACTGTAAGAGCTGGAGCACTTACAGTGAAATGTTAGTGAAACGTTGGTAAAGAGAATAATTTTTCCATGGCATTATCGATGGCGCGTGTGCGAATAAACATAAAAAATTATAAGTACATATATGGGAGGGGAGAGAATGATATAAATGTAGCTCGTGTAACTGAGGCGCGAATCGAGGAAAAAGATGTTCCAATAATTCACACAAGAGACGTCAAGAAGTTTTTCATTGATCCCCCTGTGGGCTAATAAAACTTGAAGCGAGAGAGCAGAGCCTCAACTGCTGCTAAATATATCAAGAACCCCTTAGAAAAGAACCTTTTAGTCTTCTAAATGAAACCCCATGTTTGTAAAACTCAGTGTAATATTCAACAGAGAGGTCTTTTCAACTTTCGAAATATAAGGCAAACATTTGAATATATACGCGCGCGTGTTGCAAAATAAATTGTATTTTAAGCGGTCGTTTCAGTAAAACACAAACATTATACACTTCATATAAAATATATATATTTCATCGGTGCACACTTAATATATTCACGAATTGTCGAATTTAGATTTTGTTTTTTAAAACTATTTTCCCCCAAAGTGGAAATTTCGTATGCAAAAGAATAACCAAAAAAAGGTATTTACCTTTTTACAAATTCAACCTTTTGAATATATATATATATATATATATATATATATATATATATATATATATATATATATATATTCTTTATAAAATTTGTTTCTTTATAAAAAAAATAGTTTATAATTTAAAATATTTACAGTGCATTCAGTAGAAAAATGCTGCGCGTAAAATTGCACGGTGCATTTATTTTATTTTTTATAATACTGGAATACATTGGAAATAAATCCTTTTATTGGGCCATGTAACGATTGAAGATTAAAATGAGCGTGAAAAGCAACAAATTGACGTAAACAAGACTCGGGATTAAAGTATTTAGGGATTGGTTGTCCCGCATATTGAAATTCTCAATGGCTTACGAGAAATTAAGCCCATATGCAAATCAGGGAGAGATTCCGCTGCGCCATAAATTAGAAATCGGCAATTGTATTCTTTTTTACCTTCTGCGAAGGG